AAAAGTGGCTCTTTGCTGCAGACTGCTTGCTAGGGATCGAAAATAAAGGAATGACTGCAGTAGATGCGGCTCTGGCTTCGATCGGCATTGATGTAAACGCAACACCCGGATGAACACGCTCATTTTCACCCCTTTCCTGATGTAACGTCTTTCAGAGAAAAGACACTGTAAACACACCTGTCCAACCCAGACCTGCTGTAAAACACCGCGGCTACATTGCACTCAGGAATGAAAGAGTTAATGCAGCCTCGAAATTAGTTTCTAAAAACACACATTAACCGATCGGAGGCTCCGACACTGTTATAGGAGCACCAACCCGGAGATGAGATGTGACAGATCGGTTTTACCAGTCTGCATGGCGGCTAGGAACACAGCTAGGACCTACCTGCAACCAATCAGATGAGACATCCCACACTGTTTCCACTGATCAGGTGCTGCTGTGATGCACAGAAAGCTAGCCGGCTAGCCAATATTACGAACAACCTTAACACAGGAAATACAACTGCTCACGTCTCATTCCCATGGCAAACAGTTAACTAACATGTTGTTTACAGACAATTTTAACAGAAAAAAATGGAAATTTGATTTAAATAAAGCTATTGTAAGATGATGCAGGCTGCTGTTAACACTGCTTACCTTGTACCGTGAGAGAAGAAAACATTAAACCAAGATGGCATCCCTTGTGGAACGCACATCGAAACTACGGTGCCCCACAGCGGTCAAACACAAAAACGGGATTCACCTGGAAATAAACATCGCAACTGCGACACACAGTGCCTTATTTAGGCTACTGCCCTACACATGCATAACTATGTATACATGTATATACACATGATAGTATGCATGTGTGTGCAAGTGCTTAATACCAGTATATTTGTATGTGCAAGTGAAGTATTCAGTTTGGGCCTAGCAGCTTCTCATAGAATTGAGTGAGAAGAATTGAGTGACACACATTTATATCGTGGATAATAGCAAACTGAGAAGTAGATTTATTGAGAACAGAATAGATTTTAGTTTGCTCAGGTTTTATTATTATTATTATTTTAAATTCAGGTCAGTAAATGTCGCACTGTTCACATTATGCATCAAAGTAAATTCAAAGCCTCAGACGCTGTCGGACTTACTTCCGGTACCGGGCAGTTGATTTCTGCAGACAGCATATAATGCTTGGTGGACGTTTCAGAGTGTTTTGACCGTGGACTATTCTCAGAGCCAGGCATGAGCCCACTGCGACATTCCTGCTTTTTGTCTTCAGTATTTAAAGCAAAGGTGGCACCTTTCGGCCCAATGCCCGTATGTGCGCAGTCAATTAAAACAGACAGATGTGCGAACCTCTGGTTTTTCCTTGCACGCCTCGTTTCCTGTTCGTCCGATTTCCGAAAATGGCATAGATAGGCTACGAAAAGTTTCAGCGTTTGTTTGTTCCCCAGTTTACTTTTCTTATGCTGCTATTCTATTTATTGTGGCAAAGACTCGACCGGGTCTGGGCCGAGAGATCCGGCTTGAAGTGCGGTCCGCCATGTTTTCGGAGTCCAACAACCCACAACCAGGTTTGAAGCACACCACACGTGTTCTGGCTCTAGGCCTGAACAGCGTTTGTTAATTTCCTGCTATTTTCCCCATGCCAGCCCTTTCCTTGGATGAAGGATGGAATCAGATTACATAACATGCTGTTTTATTAAAAGACACATTTACACAACACAAGTACTCACATTCTCATGGACACAGAGTAAACCAGCATGAAGTCTGCAAGCAGCAGCAAAAATCCATAAACTGCGGGGGTAGGTGAAGGTAAACCGCAAGTATAACTCCAACAGCAGCTGTGCAGAAGTTCAAGTTATTAATAAATAATAATCACAACGTTCATAAACATACAGTTAATTAATTTGGAAGCAATTTTGACTAAATGAAAGGCTTTAATGTCACATATGTTACTCCTGTGCCCAAGGACAGTTAAGTCTCAATTATCTGTCCTAAAGATAGAAATCAGAGAGAATCCATAGATTAACACAAGGGGCACTGACTTTGTGAAGAATCAACAGATGTGTATTCCAGTAAAATATTGATTAAATGGCAGAAATGACAAATGAAAATATGGAATGCAAGAATTGCGTTACTCTTTTTAATTGAGTCTTGGCTACTGAAGTTATATAGCTGAAATTACTTTGAGCCAATAAGTTCCCTCACTAACCCCATAATCTACAGTAGCTGTGTAGAGTAACCCCTAACGGGTCTCATCCAGATTCTGAATTGGATATAAAGCTTAAAATTTGAAACACTAATTTTAGTGTAAGAAATAACACAAATATTTTATGGCCTTGAAGCATCAGAGCCCCATTCATTGTTATAGAGCAAACTGGGATGACATTGCACATTTTAAGGTTCTCCCTTTGGCTTCTTACTTTAGAGGAGAGTGCTGAATGTTCACAAATATTCACAAATATTTCTTTTTCTGGGGCACAGGAATAACAAATGTGAATTCTTAAAAAGGGTTGGATTCTCCTTTAAATGCACAATACATGATTATAATATGGTGTTCCATTATCAAAGCATCTGGAAAAATAACAGGCTAAAATTATAAAAATTAAAGGTATCATAGAAGCCTATTGGGGAATATTAAGATAATCATGTAAACTTGAAAATGAAAATGTAATTCCATGACAGCAATGTCATTTTTTACAGGTGTTCTGGGATTACACTGGACTTTACTCAAATTCATCAAGTATGATGAATATGAGCAGAGCAGCAGAAGCAGTCAGCAGGACATTTCCTGGGATGGATGAGTGAAGCTGATAGAGTGAAAGAAGAAGAAAAGAGGAGGGACTGTGAACAGAGTGATCTGGAGTAGATCAATAAAATACTGTCTGATAATATTACAGTACATGTCCATGTTGTTTATCCTATGATGCTATTCTTTAAAGAAATTTCATTAGAGTAAATGTTCTTCTGTTGGCCTGATATTCAGTTCAGAGTCAACAGACATTTACTTGGCCCTGTAGTGGGTCCATGTCTGCTCAGTTAGACCAGCACATATTATTATGGTCTGGATTTAAATGTAGATTTCTCATCTAAACATTAAATCTGCGAACTCTACTCCTGCATAGTGTAACAAAAATAGATCTCAAGATTAGTGATGCTGTTTATGCCAAATTCATTCCCCACCTCTGTCATGTAAATTCAAATTAGTAGCATCAGACAATTTTTGCCTCTTTTTCTGTGGCAGTAGTGAAAATTAGTCATTGTCAAAATCTGTTGTGTTGTGGTTTCAGAATGATGGAGACAGAGAACAATTAGATTCAAAATATGATGCAGGTTTAGGACGATTTTTTTCCTGGGCAACTATCATGTTTTTCCCAAATGATGTACAAATGACTTGATACAGTAAACAGTGCATGTAGCTGTGAATGTGATGAATCTTCTTCTTTGTCCGGTACCTTGCATTGAGCATTTTGATTGGCTGTTAAACACAACAGGAAACAGTAACGCTACCTTGCACTCTGCCAAAATAAAGCAACAAATTGCATCTTTATGTCTTAACTACACACATAAACAAACCCTTGACACAATAAAAAGTTTATATAAGTACAATTTTTATAATCTTCAGATATATTTTCATTCTATCAACTAATTTTGATATGCAGGTCACTGAACAATTTTCTGACTAATGTTTGTGTGTAATTTGCTTGCTGAACTAATTATGAAATTGCAAACTGCTCTTACAACCTCCCTAGAGCAGTTATGTCCTTTTACTTTTGTACTTTTTGTTCTGTTAAGATAGAGTAGCCATACCGCAACTTACTGCAAGTGAAAAATTTAACATCTTCAGACTAATGCCTTCATTGACCATGTGTTAACACAAAAAATATTTTGCTAGCAGTATGAAATAGTTCATCAGTGTTATTACCTTTATTTCATCAGTAGAGATGAAATCCAGATATCCAGTATCTACATATGACAATGACGTTGAAAGGTTCTGTAGTGTTTACAGAGAAACAAAACAAGGAAGAATTCTTTTTCCTACATGACAGTCACTTGAGGTCTTTTGTCTCATGAGTTGTTGGATTTGTGTCTCTATTTGTGTCTTGTATTGTGAAGCTGATTGCTGACCAGTTAGTTACAGTGAAGAGTATTGCAATTATTTAATAAAAAATTATTTAAGAACTGTTTTCAAGAAAGTTGTGTTGTCCACAGGTGCTTGTGTGGTTGTAGATGTTAACACAAAAAAATGACAAAGTCCAGTAATCCATTCTGTAAAAGAGCCAGATATGTATTTGAACACTTAATGGGGAAGAAAAACATTGCTATTTGCATATTTGCCAGTTTATCTCAGACTAAACTGCTGTGGATTCAGGTTACAAAGAAGACTTGAATCCCATATTCAGAATGTAACAAATAAGTGGGATGAAAAGTTATTTTCAAAAGTCCAGCACGGGAAATGGGACACAATACAATAACAAGTCTAAACAACTGAACGCAAGACAAATTTAGCATATAAAAAATGATTCTGAAAGCCTGCCAACATTCTGGTAATTTCCTCCCAACACCAGTGATTGTGCTTAGACTTTGAGTGAACACCAGCAAATACAGCCTGAGAGAGAGAGAGAGACAGGATGCTCTGCAGGCCAGCAGCTATTCTCAACACAGGGTGAGGCACAGTGTACACACGAGTTTACTTAAGTGTTAGGAAAATCAAATTGTTCACTGCACATATACAACACACTGTGTGTAGATTAATGGCCAAATAATAAAAAATATTCTAGGAAATGATGTCCATGTTCAATTTTTTTTTTTTTTTGCTTAGGTTAACAACCACTGCTGAAGGCTGATGTATGCATGTGACACCCTATGTATGTTCATTGGTGTCTTCTTAGGATTGATTGTTTCAGACGCAGCTCACTGCTTCCAGAGATGATTGGCATCTGGTTGTCCATGTGGAAACGCACCAGGTGACCAACACTCAGAAACACCTGATCACGGGTCCGGACCTGTTCACACAGAAAACAGACTTATGTACTGAGGCCATTCTCCTCTCCTTATGCATTCAAAATCCAACAGCACACCTTTACCTGTCCATGAGGATCGACCAGCAGTAGGTGCCGCACGGTGGCTCCTTCCATCCCACTGAGTACATACTGACCAGAGGCAGAGCTGCTCTCTCTGACCAGGAAATCCCCACTACAGGTGAGGAGTGACTCTGCCTGCTTTCTTCCTAACCTGGGATGAAGGACACAAAGTTACTGAGAAAGGAAGAGGGAGATATACATTAGCAGACAGACACATTAAAGTTGGGAATTAATCGATAGTGAAGGCCCAGGGATGTTGATCACCCACCTGCCATGGAACCAGCCTTCCTCCTGGATCAGGTCCCGGATCAGTGACTCAGAGAGAGGAGTACACTGTTCAGCACTGACCCCAGATCTCACTGAGTCTGATGGAGAAACAACAGAGGAAGAATAACAGGATTGTATTATGGTTTATTTTACTATTGTGCTGCACCGAATCTTTAAATGTAATGTTAAATAAACAGGTTGAATTACACTAAAATTACTTTTAAATTAGTTTCAGATTTTAAAACTTAAATAACTTTAAACTGACAGTCAAGGTGTTTTAATGGTTAATAAATCTATAATAGAGCAAACAGTATGTTGACTGAAGTAAACAAGTTAACTGAACCCAGTTGAGTATGTTGTTGTTGTTTTTTAATTCAAATGTAGTTGCTGCAGGATATCAGTGACGGCTCTATTCACAGGTCAGTAATTCAGTCCAGGCTCATTTATTCTGGTTTCTTTTCTGTTGTTGTTCAAATTAATATTCCACTTTGGTTTAAACCATTTAATTGAAACCAGGTTTTAACTGAATCAGTGGCACCGATGGGATTAAATTTGAATCTGGTTTAATAATTTCAAGTTTGCATGAACTAAAATTATACTCTAATCTCTAAACTATACTACTGCGCTTTCTCATTCACGTAGCTACAAACATGCATAAAGACATAAACAGTATATTATGGCTTGGACTGGGAGTGCATTGAAGATTTCTTACCTGCAGGTGGAGCTGGAGTTTCTTTTGTGATGGAGCAGTTCTCATACAGTGAAACAGGCCGAGGCAAAGAAACCTGCAACAGCGCTAGATGAGTCATACACACAAAGACAGACATTTTTGCATTTGTGTGTGTGTGTGTGTGTGTGTGTGTGTGTGTGTGTGTGTGGGGTGTGCGTTCGGTGGAGTGGATTGTTGTGTGTGTGTGTGCTGTGTGTGTGTGTGTGTGTGTGTGTGTGTGTGTGTGTCCATCTGGAGCCAGTAATGGCCTAAGGGTTAGAGATGTGTGCTCTTGACAGGAAAGTCATAGACTCGATTCCCAGACTGGCACAATGATTCTGGGAGGTGAGTGAGAAACGCTTGTGCCTTCCCTATTACCAATCACTGAGGTGCCCTTGAGCAAGGCACATGAAGCTCAACTGCCTCTGCTCAGCAGGCGACAGATAAAATGATGTTGTACAGGGAAGCTCCAAGGTGCAATTGTGCGAACATTTGTGCTCATCGAACTTATCTTGGATAAAGAGAGAGTATGAAAAGCATGTGTCTGTCTATATCATATTTGATTATAATGATATGATTATGAATTTCTTATCTTCTCTTCTGGTTGTCATGGAAGTTCTCTACTGAAATATAATGCCACACATATGAAACCATTGTAACATTTAATACAGCACAGTGAAGACACAGTTGGCTGTACTAAATTATATGCACACATTCAAGGACTTAATGCCATTGGCTCATACAGACTAAAAATTAGGCCACAACACAAGGGCCATCTTGCTTGTTGTGTCTGAAGCTTTCAACCATATCTAATGGCCTTCCTCAGTGGATGGAGTTGCTCAGTTGCTTTCATTATATAATAGCAGCATCAGAAGTTTCAACCAGGACAGAACAACAGCAGCCACACAAATAAAACATGATTAAAAACCAGGGGGCAATGCATGAAGGCTCAGTTGAGCTAAGAACAAAGAAAGTTACAAAACAATTCTCAATGTTAAGAAAGTTCAAATGAACTAAAAACAAAGACAGTTAGTTAAAGAATAAGTTACCATAGAGTTTACATTAGACCTGATTTCATGAAACCAAGTTCTTTTTTAATTTCCCTCAGAAAAGAAAAACAGAAAACCTGAACTTCAGTCTCAGTTTCTTCACAAGGTCATTGCTTAAAAGACATTCATCAAACCAGTCACCAAGATATTAAAAGCAGGTAACAACGTCTATTTTCTCCCTCTGAGTTGTCACAATAGAGCCTATAATACAATATATGATCTATGCTAATGGGAATACATTATGTCTTTATTGTTTTTGGTGTTAGTGCTACAATTAACTCTTACCCCCTTTATGTCAGCATCTTGTTTGTTCTCCTCCCTTGCGATGCGCAGGTCTTCTATTCCACCAGGAGGTGGCTTCTTTCCTGGGATCACATTGTAGTAGTCACAGCGCTCGCTGACTTCACCTTCTTGCTCGGCCTTCTGGTCCATGATCGTCTCCTCTGGGCTCCAGTTGGGACAGATTCTTACTGCTGATCTGTGACCAGAAAAGTTACATGATGTTAACCTCACTTCAAACAAACAAAAACAAAAAAAACACACAAATAAATACAGACACATTCTTAAATTACAGGCATAGATTGCTTTGAATTTGCTCAGTATGTCCACATTAAATTTCACATATAGTGCAAAGCAAATAGCTGCAACCAATGATTATTTTCATTACTGAATAATTTGCAAATTATTTTGTTGACCAATCAATTTTTTTGTCTATAAATGTCAGAAAGTAATGAAAAATGCTCATCACAAATTCCCAAAGTACAAAGCGACATGTTCAAATTGCTTGTTTGGTTCAACTAAGGACAAACCTCTTAACTATTCTATTTACTACCTATTTATCAACATATAGAGTTAGAGACCATGTAAAACCCACATTTGAGAAGCTACAACCAGTGAGTGTTTGTGCTTGAAAATGACTCAAACAATAAACAAGTCATCAAAACAGTTGTAGTTTAATTTTCAACCAAATTAAATAATCAATTAATTTTCAAGTTTACACAAATATAAGGAACTTTGGATAAAACTCCAAAGGTTCAACATTTACATTTGAGAGAACTATGCTGTTTTAAAAGCCAGTGAAAAGAATTATTGGCCGATGTAGAGTGAGACATTATTAAACTGCACTTCTGATCAGATGGGTTAAATATGCAGTACATTAAAATAGGATGTGTGGCACAGTGCTGTGTCACAGCAATAAGATGGCTGTTGTTTACAGAAGGACAACCTGGGATTGGTGGAGAGGAGCGATGGTGTGTGGCTGAGAAGTTGGCGGAAACGAGTCTCAAAGGCCTGACCGATGCTGTTGATGACCTCGCAGGCCCGACCCCGGGGACACTCCAGGATGTGACACGCTGACAGCGAGAGAGAAAGGGAGACGTTTTGTCCGTAATAATGACAGGTACAGATTGTGTCAGAAAGTCCAGCTCACTATATTGATGAATATTTTGGGAGTCCTTTACCTCTCTGATTGGTGAGGTCCTTGGCAACGTAAGCGATGTAATCCGCCATGTCCTGTGAACAAATCGAGAGAAAAATAATATGCCAAATGCTAATATATACATAGTGTATACTTGTTTAGGAAAAGCACAAGTAAAATAGAATCATAAAGTCAGAAAACCAACAGCAGCATCCTTTCAAGGTTTGTTAACATAGCTACTATTAACCACCATAAGTGTATTAAATTGAGAAAAGGTGGATTTTATTGCCTATAAATTCAACTTTCCATTTGTAAGAGCAGCAATGTTTAATTTAGTCTTTCAAATGTTACTAATAGTCACCTTTCAGGTATCCTCTGTATTCCTCCACATGTCTGTGTATGTGGTCATTAATACAACTCCTGACAGTGCTGTTGTGTAGTTCAGTTTATAACCTGTACATCTGGTGGCCACTCAATTCATAATTTGAACATTTTTTCACATTTAATCATTGAAAACACAGCTGCCATTTTCAGTTAATGGTCATCAATGTGTATTCTCTGTCTAAATTAATTCACTCCCCATCAGCCGTTCTCTGATACTAATACAAGAGGCGAGTCGGCTGCATATGTTTCATCACAAAGCCTCTGTGGCAGATTGATTTAAATTCTCCCCGCTATCTTGCATGTGTCCAAGCCAACTGAGCGAGGCTTAGAGTACACTACAAGATTATTTTAGCTAATTAATTAAACAGCAAGCTATAAGCTTCTCCAGAGCAGTTCACCAGAGAGAAACTACCATCCTGTTCTGTCTGATCTTAGACAGTGCAACCTCACAGTATCAAAACAGCAATGTATTTTTGTATTAACATTTTGTTTGAGTTGAAAAAGTGAGTTAATGGATTATGGCTTGACCTAGACAGCAGCTAATAACAGACATGGCTGTTCAGACAGTAACAGGGCGGCATTGATTTTTTTTTTTTTTTCGCCTATTCATTATAGACATTCAGGCAACAGGAAGTTTTTCACTCAGGATGAATCACCCAAATTCTGTCATATGGAAATAATGCGGGCATGGTGGGACAGGGAAGGAAAATCAATAAGAGTTTATTAGTTCATTCAGACATGACGAGGTGTAAAGATAGCTAGAGCGCATACCAGCTTTGATGGTTGTATGAAGTCACAAGACAGGCTTTCATGATTCGTTGCTTGTGCTTCATCCTAAGACCTAAGAGTGATCTACAGAGCCAACTTAGGAGTGGAATAGTTATTTGTGGAGTGTGAAGAATAAGTTACTCAGTAAATTTTAAGAGCATGTGGTCATATGATTAATCACATGTTTCTTACAATATGTTGTTTTATTTGTGTTCAATCCTTAAAATGCTTTTCCAGTTGAGGGCGTATGCTCACATCTGTTTCTACACTGCAGTCATCTAGAATCTACTCTTCCGACACCTTTGGGGCTCTCTTAACTATTTTTAAGTAGCCAGGAAATTTGATAAATGGCTTTTATTCAAATAGGAGTAAAAGTGAGCGATATTTATCTTTCACGCTTTCATTTAAGTCAAAGATTTCACTTTTAGTGACTTGATAAATATTGATCCTGACCTTGCAGCACCAACTAGAAGCGTAGAGGGATCAAGAGAGGAAATAATTCAATCCTCCACAAATGGCAGCAAACCAAGCAGTAATCAAACAAAATCAAATTACTCACTGTGTATGTGTGTGTGTGTGTGTGTTTGTGCACATACTACCCCTGTTTGTGTCCTTATCTGACCATGAACTTGTTTGTACATGTGAAACATTTGACATTTAAGAATATGAACATACTGGGTCTCCTCCTGAGGCAAATGAAATGGCCTGCATGGGGTGGTGGGCAATCTTCTGAGGAAGAGAAGAGAGGAAGAAAAAATAAAAATGAAAACAAACCTCAATAAAGGACTCCCAACCTCAATAATTCAGATATATGACGATTATAATGTGGTTTAGCGTGCTGAAGCTGTCACCTGTAAGGAGGAAGCAGCGATCAGAGTCACACTGTCTGTGGAGACAGTGAGGATGATCCTGCTCCCAGAAAACTGCAGGTTGATTTGACCCAGAACAGCAGAGAGTCCCTTATGTACAGGCTGATGAAGAGAAAAATCACAGTTATTCTTCTTGTGATGATTGCATTGGTGTGCGTATGTGCATGTGCACGTGCGTGCGTGTGTGTGTGTGTGTGTGTGTGTGTGGTGGACCTAAATCTGTTTACACAGTCATTCTTATGGAGACAAAAAAGCAAGTCCCAATACTGTAAAACATAAAATTTTAAGGTGATGACATGGTTCAGGGATTAGTGGTCGGTTGTAATGGTTAAGATTAGAGCACGTCTGCAATCATATCCCTATTCATATCCAGTCATTATAATGTCTTGTGAAGACATGGACAGGGGTAAGGGTCAGGGACAGTGTGTGTGTGTGTGTGTGTGTGTGTGTGTGTGTACCATACCCTTTTACTTCTCACTGTTGTCTTGGCTGATGTCTTCTCACACAGTCTACTGATTGCCTCTCTGTGCACACACACACACACACACACACACACACACACACACACACACACACACACACACACACACACAGATTATAAACATGTTCACATACAAACGCACAAGCACACATACAGACCAAACAGAATGGTAACATGTGACTTGCATGTGATCAACAGTATATCAGGGAAATAAAATATGCTGTAAGATTAGCACAGTTTTACAGTGGTGGAAAGAAACAAAGAACATTTACTCAGGGACTGTACGTAGATACAATTTGGAGCTATTTGTACTGCGTCTGTACTGTGTCACAAGACAAATCTGAAAGGGCTTGACATGAGTTCTACAACACAAATCTAGGCCTACTATATTCTATGCATTTAAAAAAAATGTTATCTACTATTTATCTGTTTTGATATTTGTTGTTATAGTGTATTCATTGCAATTATTTTATCAACCCAACATTATTCTTTCTTGTTTTTGTCAACCTTAATTATTTTCTTCAAATTTAATCTAATTCATTATAAATCTTAAATGTTTTTTTAACCTCTGTGCTTCATGTTCTATGTGGTGCTGTTTTCCTAACCATGTATCAGTGAGCCCTTTCCTGGTCAGATAAAACATACATATACATATACAAATATACATTAAAGCAGAGCTAGATTGAACAAAAAAAAAAAGCTGCAGTCACTGGCATACTTGTCTTCAGAGAGCTGATGCTTATTGGGTCAGAGAGGTCAAAGAAGACAAACACCCACACACAGAGAAGTAACATCCCACTAGGCAGCAAGGCTTTTTTCCAGGAAATGCTTTTCTTCTCCTTGAAAACAAATTGTATGTAATGGATTTAGGCTTCTCTCTCTCTCTCTCTCTCTCTCTGGGTCTCTCTCTGGGTCTCTCTCTCTCTCTCTCTCTCTTAATAAGTCTATGAGATATCATTAGGAGGAAATTCATCTAATTGGATTTTCTACCCCATCATTCAGCAGCGTTCTTGTGAACAGAGGTTGCTGTGTACATCAGTGTTTTGGCATCCTGCACTAGGATGTCAATATCAAATGATGAGGAGAAAGCCCCAGTTTATGAAACATGATACATTTAATTTGATTTCCCCCCTTTGAAACATTTTTGAAATAAGCCACACATGTCTTGATTGGCAAATATATGTTGAATGAATTCAGTAAGTCAGGGTAAAGAACTTTCGTCTTTTCTGTTTCCTCTTCCATGCAGAGGCGAAACATCAACTTATCCATGCATAGTTTATCCTGATATATCATATCAGTAGTTAGCTGTTCATTCTTAGGTATCTATGCCCGTGTGTGTGTGTGTGTGTGTGTGTGTATTGCAAGGACGTCCTACCGTGTGACTTGCATTCTCGTATCAAAGTCAAGGGTTCTCATGGACTGGGTCACCTCCACGCTGCCCATGTACTTAAAAACAGAACAAAACAACAGTTACGCACCAATTCCAATATGAAATGACACCTCTAGGAGTGACTTTAGACAGAGTGCGGATGTACAGGAGGCAATGTGTCTGTCCCATTCCTCCTCAATTTAAATGTCCCCAACAGGACTGAAAGATAAATCTAACAGACTGAGATGATTAAATAGGAAAGGAAAGGAAAAAACTTATTATTTGTTGTCTCTCTTTTACTTTTTACTGATTTACCTCTGAATAGCTTTCTCCCTTCAAACCTCTGAAAATTATGTAGGAAAATGAGAGGAGGGGAAATTACTCTATAGTTGAGTTGAAGAGTTCATGACCTATGTACAGTACACATGCAACATGTAATGACAGATCATTGCATTTAGTTTTTAAGGGATCAAAAATCAATAAGCCTGGAGACCACTGAACTGCATTGTACTGTGCTGATAAATAAACTGAAACATTTTGTCAGCCATCAGCTGGAGTTTTAGTGAAATATGCTACACTTATTTTACAGCAGATTTTGTGGCCAAAGCTCTGCTAAATTTTTACACCATGGTATTGACAGAAGGTGGATATTATGTCAGGCATAATTTTACAGTCAAGAATGGTCAAAACGTTCATATAATGAAACTCTGAGCATTCCCCAAGTTCTGTTAATCTATTCCCTGGTCCTACAGGGACTTGAGAAAAAAATCTCAATACAAAGAGGACAAAGATACAAGGTTGGAAAATTAATGATGATTATTTACATTCTCTCCAGTTTTAGATAGCTGCTTTGTTGGATTATTTATTGCGCTTCATTTTGTGCACAAACTGTAATGCAAACTATTTACTTTGGTCTGAAACTGCCACTATGCAGATGACAGCCAACTGTGTATCTGTAGAACCTGATGACGTCAACAATCTAAACTGATTAACAGACTACACAAGGAGAATTAAAAAATAAAAGTGTACAACAGACATTATATTAATTAAGGGCTTAAAACAGTGATACCAGGGTCAGTCTGCTGCAAAAACTTTAGAGATCACTTTAGATATGGCTTTTTTCCACAAAGCATATCTTTGTAATCAGTAAAAAGACTGCAGCTTGTACAGAGTGCAGCTTGTTGAGCTTTAACCAAAACAAGTAAACAAGAGTAGGAGTCTGAAGCTATGCTAGTGGCTCTGTGATTCTGTACCAATGCTAATGCCAGCATGTTAACATGCTAGCAATGTCAATGCTAACATACTGATGTTGATGACCAACATTACCATCCTATGAGCTATGGCTCAAAAGAACAAATATATTTTCTCCCTGTTACTTTTAGAATTTATTTAGAAAGGTTTATTGCCAGTTTTTAAAGATCTTAATATTTTTAGCACCTTAATACAAAGGTGACTGTCTCTGGCTGGCTTAGGTGCTGGAGCATTGGTTGTATGAACAGTTGGACTTATGGACCAAAACTGTGGAATAGCCTGTGCATAGTTATCCAATATGCAACTTCTGCACTTAAGGAATAGTTTTGGACATCCTAACATGTATTTGATTATAAAGATGTGAGGAGGGTGGACGATCAGTTAATGCAACCAGACAACGTTGATGCCTTGTGCTCAGATAAGCTTTGGCCAGTCACATTTTAACTCGTCATGAGCCTCAGCAGAGCAGACTCTATAGGCTGGACACAGGATGAGTAAGTCCATTTCTGGAGACCAGACTTAAATCAATACACGTGTGTGTGTATATGTGTGGGTGGGGTGAGTGGGCAGGAGAGTATGTATGTGTGTGCTTGTTTGTAGAGGACAATCAGACAGTCCGTTCTCATTTCCATCAGTGGACAGCTCACAGGCCCTGCTCCTAATCACCCATGCGGACACACCTCCGGTTCTAGGACAGCATGGGCTCTGCTGATACCGGATACATTCACACACATATGCACTCATACACACACACACACACACACACACACACACACACACACACACACACACACACACACACACACACACACAGACACACACACAGACACACACACACACACACACACACACACATACACACACGCAAGCAGAGTAGATCTAGAGAGGAGCAGAGAGCCAGGATGAGTCACTACTGCCTACACAGGAAGCTCTATGTGAGAGGGAGGGGGTGAATGTACGAAAGTGAGTGTGATAGTGTGAATAGAGCACAGGGAGACAGGAGAGTGTTTTTGTGTGTGTGTGTGTGTGTGTGTGTGTGTGTGTGTGTGTGTGTGTGTGTGTGTGTGTGTGTGTGTGTGTGTGTGTGTGTATTGACACTGGTAGGAATTAAACTGCGTATCTCAACTCTCTGCTGGGACCCTGGATATGAGCTTAGCTACACTTTCTTGCATAGTGTAAAGTGAAGAAGCTTTACACTGACAACGTTACACAATCAACATTAAATTGTAATGTTCATGCACATCAATAATTTTAAGCAAATTGTCAAAGTGAAAAACACTAAGATTAGTCCGGCAAGGAAACTCTTAGTTGCAGTCTGCTACACAACCTGTGTATTCATGCAGCGTTATTGGTTTATGTGTGTTGATAGGTACCTTGATGTCATGGTGAACTGCTCTGTTTGCTGTCCCCAACTCTGTACAGTCATCTGCTGCAGAGGAAGTCTGCAAACAGCACAGAGCATCTCTGCTCAGTGAGCAGGGAGAACAGCCGGGGGTCCAGGGGAGGCTGGCCATCCGATGCAGAGTGATGGGTCTTTTTGTACAGCGCAGAGCCGAGTGAGTGAGGTTCTGGCCAGTGGATAGGTGCACATTAAGGGAAGGTTGGCTACAAAATCTCTGATTAGGTCCTGATCCCCATTCTGTTCTGGACAATGGTCTGTCAGTGTGTCCATCAATGGTTCTCTCCCCAGCTGTGTTTCTCTGTCCCCTCAGGCCCCGCAGAGAAATTGGACTTTGCAATCGGATGTTGGCCACGCGGGGGATGAAGTCCCTCAGGGTGGACAGCCCATGGTGCGAGGGCGTCCCAGGATCCAGTTGGGCAAAATCAGAGTCTAAGTGAAGTTCCCTCTTCAGGGGCAGCATTCTTTGGGGACAATCCTCTAGAGATGTCAGTGAATCGTTGCGCAGACGACTGTATTTGGTGCGCTTCAGCATGCCTGTAGAAGATGGTGTCACAATCAGATATGCAGCACAGTGATTTCCATCATACTGATTATGTCTATAATGACTCCAATGGAGAAGGGCTACCTGGTAAGAGTCCTGTCTGTGATTTGAACCTGGGTAAGGTTTGCTCTCTCATAATCAGGAAACTGGACGAAGGAGAACACTGGGACAAAGTAAAGAAGAAAAGAGGAAAACCTGCCAGGAATGAGATCACACACAGTTATTACACACAGAGGAAACACAGAAAAAAAAAGGTGAGACATAAAATGCATTGAGTTGATCATTTTGGTTGAACTGCTAATCATCTGATCTTTGGGAGACTATCTGCCGTACTGTGTCCTCAGATTATTAGATGGGATTCCTACTGTACATTACACTAGATTCAACTCACCAGCGTGGGACTGGGGATGTCCTGTGTAGTCTAAAGTCCAGTCTGCTCCGCTCTAGTCATGCTGAGTACAGTCCCATCCTACTGACCCATAGACTTTCTCAGTCAGACTTCCAGCTCTGCTTCACCTCCACATCAACTTTCCTCCCCTCTGCCTTTTCTTTCTGAGGCACAGCAGAATTGTGCAGCTTTTATGAATGAACTTTCTCTCCCTTTTTTTTTTATGAATGAGAGACTCTCGCTCACTTCCTCTGTCTCTCTATGACGGTGCATGCAGATGAATGTGTGAATGGAGCGGAGGAGAGATTGACAGACGGCCCCTAAGGCTCTATCCCCCTCCCTCACCCATAAACTACCATCCAATCACAGGCGGGTAGGGTGACTCATGCTGTACACACATACACACACACACACACACACACACACACACACACACACACACACACACACACACACACACACACACACACACACACTTATACACTGAAGCAGAGCCAATACAGTACATGAGTGCTCTAATCTTCTCTTCTAACATCACTTGCACCTCGGAGATGCTGTTAAAGTGTGTTATTAAGACATTATTACCCACAAAAAATGTTTTCACCTAATTTCAGAAAATGATGATTTAATATATTAGTAAGTACAAGTAGTAATTGTAGAATTGCTCTGATTGACTTAATTTATACAACAAAAGATATTTCAGAGTCTAGCTAATTCATGTAATATTCAAATGACTGGCATGAACACTCAAGAGGAAGGGGATTTAACTGAAACATTTGCATTTCTGTTTGATTGTAATCAGAGCCATATGCTTGACGCCAACCAAAGAGTGCTTTACATACTGTACCTATTCCTGATTAAAAGATTAATATCTCTCAACAACAGACAGCAGGCAGAGTGTGGCAGAGTGTTCCATATTTCATATACATAAGTCAAGAATTTTCAGAGCTAAGAAGTATTTCTGACTTTAATTTTCCTCAAAACAAATAACTTAATTACAGATAACTTGAAAAGTGTTTTCTTTATGGACATAAGCTGAATGTGACAATAAAAAGACTAGACAAGTCTCCAAGTGTGAGTGCATAAAATAATGTAAAGCAGAGCTTTGTCCCTTCCTAGTGGTCATTCAGTAAAACTGCAATCAAGGCCTGCAAATAACCATTATTTTTATGACCAATTGATCTGAATGCTATTTTCTCTATTAATCAGTGCATTTTTTTGTCTATGAAATAATTGGCAAAAAAATGCCTGTTACATGTTACATCTTAGAGCCCAGCATGACTTGTTGAAATTGCTTGTTTTATCCTATCAACAGCCCAAAACAGAAACATGTTCACTTTACGATCGTATACAACAAAGAAAAAGCATAAAATCGTAATTTTTCAGAACTTGGAAACATTTATGATTGAAAAGTGACTGAAATGATCAAACAAGTATTTGACTAGTTCCCTATTTGTTTCAGTTTCTACTGCAGTCTAATTTGTGCATATGCTGAGGAAACATAGTCAGCTGTGAACAGAAGATGAGACAGTGAGATGATTTACTTAAACAACATTTTAATGATGTTAATCATCAGTTCATATAGGTTAAGAGTGATAACAGGATTATGAGAAACAGCCTCTAACAATGTTGCTAGTGATGTACAGTCTGAAGGAGACAGTCTTAAATATCCATATAAAGACGAGGAACACGCTGAAAAAAGTACTTCATTGAACCGTATTTTTGTTTTTGTTTTTTTTTTGTTCACATTAGTTACAAGACCTTTACCAGTACTGTATTTACATAGTGCAAAAAACACACTTGCCGTCAATTAACATACTTCAAACACTTTGATGGAAGTCATAGCAACAGAAAGCCTACACACAGCGTACCTTTTATCAAACTAGAAATACTTTCATAATCCCAAGTAAGACATTCAGCACACTGTCATCTCCCATCACAGGGCTTTACATTGCATACAGCCCGACATACTGCATTTACACACTGCATCATCATAGACAGGCTGAAATCTCACTATAATTCACTATCAAATACCATTATCAAATTGGATTCCAACTGTTAAAATGTTAAAACTATCAAATGGCTTTAAGAACATGATGATTGTATTTTTTTTTTAATACAATGCAAAATCAAAATCTCTTTTGTACACTTGTATTTACAGGGGCGTATCATTAGCATGTGCATGACTTTGTGATGACTTGCTTGACTTAAGAGTGGTGACTCTGTCCTGAGGAGGGAGCTTCTCAGCTGTGGTGAACTGACTGCAGACAGCGGCAGTTGTAGCTGGGTGCCGACAAAATTTTGTCTATAGAATCTAGAAGAGCTTTGTAAGGATTTATTTCAGTTGTAAGCAACCATGTCTGTTTTTTTTGTTGTTTTTTTTTGTCAATTTGGCCCCTTTAAACTTCATGAACACCGGTAAACACCTGCTTGTCTGGTTTTATTTGATTTAAATGACATTTTGAAAAGGAAATAGATTTTTGTAAATTGGTAAAAATGACAATTTACACCACGTTTCTAGTAACCCAATTCTTTACTATTAAGTTCTGTGTCCAACTGTATATTTACCAAAACACAAATTTCTCTCTGGACAGAGGGACTCAGTGTTGATTTTAAATTTGATAAACAGACTTCAAAAAAAGTCTTAGGCAAGTTACAGCTTGAGAGTCCCCCCCCCCCCCAAATCAGAGAACAAACACCACCAAAGAGAACAGGAGCACTTTTTTCTTTATGGAGCACAGACAACATCTGGGAACTGAAGACAATTCCAGTCAGAGGAAAACAACCCCAAATAGTTTCACACTTAGCAAATCAATATGAAACACCATTACATACTGTAGTAGAACCACCTAGATGAGGTTATATACACAAAGCTTGTTTTGCTTCTTAGAAGTTAAGTCATTTGAATCATCTGAATACAGAATGGGACACATTACTAAAACACTCTCTGAAGACTGAAGGGTGGGAGTGGTTTTGGTAGAAAGACAGAACCCCTGACACTGTAACATTCTGTGAGGAAAGCTAAATACCAACCAAGCAGTAATTAAGAAATGCATGCCTCTCTTTCCCTCATTGAGCAGTGAGGTGAAAAAAAACACACATTATTTACAAAAATAAAGCTAATGAACACAGCAAAATAAATGCAAACTACAGTATGTGCCTGTAAATACACACACACACACACGCACACACACACACACAAATACTTGCAGAGCTGTAAACCTTGCAGGACTCTGAATAAAGTAAGATGGGAGCTGGAAGGTTCCAACCTTCCTTTTCTGTGAGCTACGGACAGCAGTTCAACATTTCTTGCTCCCAGAGAAGTCCTCGACTGTAAAAGAGTTCAGTTTCAGAGGAGGAAAATCAAAAACTTCCCTCTTAATTCAAGTGTAGCAGGTTATGGGCCGAAGAAGTGAGGGCAGATGAGTTTTTTTTTTTTTTTTTTTTTTTTTTTTTTAAAGAAACGTCAATTACTACCCCTCAAAATGTGTTAGTTGTTGGTTGGTCTGTTGCTGTGTGTTTGTAAGTTCATCAGTTTCTCTGTAATGCGTTAATGGGTTGTGTTTGAGTGTTGGTCAGTTGGTTGGATACCTGAGATTACGTCTAGTGTCAGGGGTTAGAGACAAAGGAGAGAAGCTGCTGGCTGCTGTGAAGAGGGATGTGTGAGAGCGACAGAGGACAGAGTGAATGAATATATAAGAAAAGAGGGAGGAGGAGAATCGATGTCAGCCGTTGACCTTCTTAGCCTCCACTTTCTCTTTGCCCTCCACCCTCGTCTCTGTGATGTCTGCTGAATCAAGGTCCTCCTCGTCTTCACTCTGCCCTCTCTCCTCTTCATCGTCTTCCTCTTCCTCCTCCTCTTCCGTACTTTCCTGGCTCTTTCCCAGCTGCAGGTTTTCCAGGGTCTTTGACACCCAGGATTCGATGCGGCTGCTGAGGGTGGGCACCTCCACAGAAATAGGCTCAGGAGTGTAGTCCTCCTCCTCCTCGTCCTCCTCCTCTGCCTCTTCCAACATCCCGGGGACTAGGGTGGAAGTGGTGGAGGTGATGGAGGAGTTCAGCGGGCCCCTGCAGCTCCCATCCAACGATCCTGTCTCCGTGCTCTGCTGTGAGGCCAGCTCCAATCGGTCGTCAACCCGGACCTCGTCTCTCTCACCGGCACCCTGAGTCAGAGGCCCCGCCCTGGGCTGGGGAGCAGTGGAGCCAGGCTGGGTGGTGTTGGTGGTGGCTGCCAGCGCCTCACTGTCTCTCTGGGCGGCTATGGAAGGTGCAGGGCGACTCGGCTCAGTCTCTACAGTCTCTGGGGCATCTGAAGTCTCCACCATACTTCTCCAGTTGGTCTCTGAAGGAATTAATACATTTGTTATGAAACATTTATATAAACATTTATTCAAGTTCTGTACCTGAACGCAATTTTGAAGAAATTACACTTTACTACTTCACAGGGAAATATCATACTTTTTACATTATATTTAACTGACAGCTGTAGTTAACTAATCCATTAACCCTTTTCAGATTAAAATCATATATAAAAGCATAACATAATCTTATAAAGATTAAGATTAAACCAGAAGTCCCCAAACTTTTTGGCCTATAACCTCTTACTTGATAGTTATTAGCAATTCCACCACAGAGAGAATCCAAATCAGATAGTGTCATTTAAATTATAGTTTGAAGTCAAATCATCTAATTAAAACATTTTGAGTAGCAGAACATGTTTTTTCTTCTTTTCTACCCCATCAACCATGTAACAACCCCCAGATTTGAAATCAGTATTAACAATAGCGGACACTTTTACTTAGGTAAATAATCTTAATACTTCTTCCACCACTAATTACAGATAACCCTAAAGAACTGACAAAGATGAAAAGCAGAGAGACAGAAATGAGGGAGCTTACCGTACTCCTTCTCGTTAACCTCTGAGATAGGCTCAGAGAAGATGGAGCAAAAGGAGATAGCAGAAGCAGCTGAGTGGTTACGGGAATGCCCCATGTGGTGTGGGACTTTCTTGTCGTTTTTCAGAGCCTCCTCGGCTTGCTCCTGCTCCAGAGCTGACACCATGTCCTTGTAGGCCTTCCTAGCCTCTTCTGTCAGAGACACCAGACGGTTGAAGAGACCCTGAAAGGCGCAGAGGGAAGTTAGCAAGACACAAAAAATTAAAAAAAAAAATTTTTTTTAAACTATGAGCTGCTTAGATATGATCCTGTGATTCCAAAGTCCCTATATATCTTTACTGCTCTATAACAACTACTGACCTACAATCTGGATTTTATTGTTACATTCACTCATCAGGACAGAAAGTTTTAGTGGCTGGGAGTGCCTTACCTCAGCTCCAGAGTAGTTGAAAATGCCAACCACACTGACAGGCACAAGTTTGTTGACGCAGCGTCCTAGAGCTTTTCTGCCCAAGGCAAACACAAATGGGATCTCCTGCTCCCTCGCCATGGCGATTACATTGTATAAAGCTTCATCCAAACCACCTGCAACACAGTAAACAATTAGTGACTCAAATAAATAAAATTTAAGAAAACCAATGAACAAAAACAAGAGAAAATGGCAATGACTTGAACACAAGAATGGGAAAACCTGCTGTTTCGGTAATAGATATGTCACTGCGGGATTTTTACTTCTTTATTTACATATCCAGAAGTTACTGAGAAACATCATCATTTGAAGTTATGTTTCTGGCCACCTGATGGATGACAGTCCATGTTCACTCTCTGTTGACTCTGTTTCTCTGCAACTCCTGAGAGAAGTATCACTTAGTTCATCAGCAAGTCACCAACTGTGTCTATCTGCAGTTTGTTGCTGAGCAGGTGGTGTGCAGTGGGTTTTTAAAGCTTTTCTTTCTGAATACCACACTACGAGAGCAATGAGAGTGAACCAAAACAGTAGAGTTGCAGCTGGACAGCTGAACAATGAGCTCAACTCAGACATAAGCCATGGGGAGCTGCAGATTTGTGTGAAACTTCTCTCCAGCTTCCTTTTGTATTGTCACGTTGTTTTCACATTTTTATTAGGCACATTGTTAAACATTATAAAAATACTGATTATAGCTTTAAACATGTTCACAGCTCAGCAGGTCAGACCTCTGACAATTTCATCAAACATGTACTGGTGCTGGAGACAGTTTTGCTGCATTATTCACCTTTGGCCTGGATCTTCTCACAGTTGGGAGAGATGATGACACACTTAATCTTATGCAATTTCATATGCTTGGTGACCTCTCTGAGACCCATGACCAGGCGGCGTTTAGATTTGGCCTTGGTAGGATCCTTCTGGTAGACCCGCTCTTGGAAGCGAACCAGTTCCTGTAACAGCATAGTCACACTCTCGTCGATCTCTTTACTCAGCACTTGGTTACAGTACCTGCAGAAGAAAAGATGACAAGAGAGGGCACAAAAAAAAAAAAGGAGGTTACAGATGTTCAAAACATATTTTGGGTGGCTACCAGGCTAATGATGAAGGCCATCATTATTGTTAACTAGCAGCTCTGAAACAGTAGTAAACAGGGTGAAGAATTGATTTCCAGTAAAAGTGTAACGTTATCCGTTCGCAAAATGTCAGCAATCTGGCAATATGTTACACTGGAAAGTGCCATCAATAAAAAAGCAACATATCCAGTATGCAAGGCTTTAATTTTGTGGGGGTGCCACTAGTGTTAGGACATCTAATGTAGAAATTTTTATTTATTCCTAGATTTTCTTTATGATTGACAGTCAACTTAGATAATAAAAGAAAGATTGTATGGCGCTCATGTATTTGATATACAAAGGGTTTAACCTGATTCATGCCATACAACAATGACAGCAATCATATCATATCCATACAGGGTTAGCAGTGGTTATGGTTATACAGCTGTTCATGACAGCTTTGCTTAACTACTTGTTGGTTATGCTTATGCTTTTCCACTTGCTATCAGACCATGAGATAACATGCAAGCTTCGAGTAACTTTGTGTTTTGACAAAATATCTATCAGAGGGACGACGTAGGGTGGTCTGAGGAACAAGTGTCCTGCTGGTCAGAGCTGAGAGGCGGAGCTTGTCAACAGAGGGTTTTTGGAGGCTTTAAATGCAAAATCTGTTAGAGTAGCGTGGGCTGGGACAATAGGCCTACAGCAGAGGACACAGAGGGACAAAGCTGTGTTTGTAACCACTGGCATACATTTTTGCTGAGAGGGGACAATGTGCTAGGCATCCTTGCCATACTCTACAATTCTTTATTGTACAGTTTCGCCCTTAAAAACACCCATTAACGCTCAGAGTGCGCTTCTCACAGCCAAGGCTCTGTGAGTTTGGAGTGGGACAAATATTTGCGTCGCTAACCATTTTTTGTTACCACACTGTGCGTTTTTGAGACATTCCAATGCCAGGGATTCCTACAAAAGGTCTGTCCTGTTCCTACTTCTGTTTCTCACTCCATGTGTGTTGAAGTGTGTGTTCTTACTCTCTGAAACGTCGGCTGTGGATCTTGGTGATGGCGTTTGAAGCCATGGGACTCCCAATGCCAGAGCTGGCAGGAGAACCCTGGGACACTGGGGTGATGCTATATGGAGAGTTCTGACTGGCCGGGGAAAGGGATGCATCACTGGGCACACTCAGACCATTCTCTGTGGTACGAACAGCAGACCAGAAATAACAATTAGACACTGTTTGGTGGATAAAAAAAAAATATGAGTATTACTGAAATGTTTTCACTTCATAATAATGATTTGCGCTCACCTTCTTGGGAGGCGGGCTCTCGTGTAAGATCATCAGTAAAATGTAGGTCATCCCCATGCTCCTCCTGGCCTGATGACTCTTGTTCCACACTTGCCTTCCCTTTCTTCCCTTCACGTTCCTTCAAGATAATCTATAGAAAAGAGTAAAATACAAGAGAAAGTAAAAAACAAGGGCACTTAAAAAAAAAAAAAAATTGGATTATACTTCCATGGTTCAATGACCCCCATTTCTTTTACCAACTTTTATGCAGGCTAAATAACATCATATAACCACCTCTTCTAACTCATCAACTTGAACTTAAAATCATCAACCTTCTTAAGGGCTGTTGGCCGTTTCACTTTGGGAATCTCTCTCTCCTTCCCTCTCTTGACACGGGGTGCAGTGGAATCCAGGGCATTATGAGGGGCTGCGTATAGCTGCTGATGACCCTTCAACGTGGACGGCACATTGGTCGAGCCTGAGCTGTGGAATGGGGTGGTTGTTCCAACTGGAGAAAAGAACAACAAAGTTAACAGTTAATTAGAATATATGCACATGCAAGTGCAAAGGGGTTCATAATGCTGGGAACTGAATTGGGACTGTCAGATGGTTTTGTGTCAATTTAATGCCTCTGGTCTGGCCACTCAGTGGGGGGTGGGGGGAGTAATTCAGGCTAATGTCAGTCACAGTTACCAAGTCAGCTACACGAATGAGTTCTATTATGTTAAAAAGAAATTAAGAGTATTGTTATATTTTGTATATATTTTTAAATCATTATTTCAGTATATTTTTCAGTATATTCAGGATTTCATCAGTATTTGTCAAAAACTTATTAATGGAGCAAAATCCTGATAACAGCTTAAAACCAGAGGAACAAGAAAACTAAATTTGCAAAGAACACTGGAAACAAGTAGACCACCACTAACACTGAATGAAAGACATTTAATGTGACATTATATACTCAATATAATACTTTAGCCTCAAAAAAGAGAGAGTATTGAGTTGAATTGACATTTTGACAGTATTTGACAGACAGCTCAAACCATTATTGCAAATTACTGCTGGGTTATTGCATCATAAAATAGTTTATTTTTTCATGCCACTTGTTAATGTCTGATCGTTTTTGAATACCTGTAAAAGACAGTGGCTTGGTATTGGTGAGTTGCCTGGCCTTCATAGCCTGCTGATGTTTCTCTAAAGCTGCCAGCATGTCTCCCAGGTCCAGCTCAACAGAGGTTTTACTCTTCTTCCCTGCAGCTTTGGTGAATGCCTCCTGCCGGGCGAGGACAGACAAGGCAGAGCAAGGTCATCATACCCATGAAACAATCAAATACAACTGAAGATCAGAATGGTACTCATAGGCCAGGTGGCCCAGTTGTGAAGACAAGAAGTGATTAAATGCATCAACATTCAAACCCAGAACCTAATGAACAGCAGACAACGTTCAGCTTCATACCTGTAGTTTCTTCTGCTCCATGCTGATTTCAGAGTACTCCTGTGCAGTGGCCAACGCAGCAGCCAGAGCCTTCTTCCTCTGGCTCTTGGCCCTCTTGGGAACAGAGGTTGTAATGGGGATGGGTGTCTGCACAATGTTGATAGGGGAGTTTTCTGGTAGGTTATCCAGCTGTGAGGCATATAGAGACACAAACAATATTTAGTAGGGGTGTAAAGATTAACTGATACAAGAGTCAGTGATTAACAGATACACAACCACTGATCCCAAATTCTGCATCAAATTTGGGAAAAAACACGATACAGCTTCAAGTGTCCACAACATTCACACGCTGGAGGAAATATGTTTACAACTGCTGCCTCATGTTTACATCACATAAGCAGTGTTCAAAATATACAAGGGGCACCACACACTTTGCTACAAATTTCAGAAGTTGACATATGCCCAATGCCACTTCTAAGCTTTTCCTGGTTTGAGACAAAACTGTTACTGAAGCTACGTGCCATTTTATTTAACAGGAAATGTATACAGTCTATAGTCCAGTCCATCCATACAGTGTAATCAAAAACACCAAATTCAGAGTGATCACAATGACCCAGGAAAAAATTCTCCCTAGGGATTGGCCAAAAAAAAAAAGAAAGTTGCCCAGTGGATCACTGCTTGAGTTTTACTGTTGCTGGTGTGACAGATCATGTTCTGCGGTATTTCTAATTTAGCATTTGAAATAAAAACTGAGAAAATAATAAATTAATTTAGTCACACTTACTATTAAAGAGTCAAATTGTCTGAGAGGGAGAGACACACACCCTGCAAACAGTCAGCACACGACACAGAGACCCTTGAAAGACCGGCATCTTCAGAAAGCATTTTCCCTTACCAGGTTTTTGGGCAGTTTAGGTTGCGCATGTGTCTGCGCTGGAGCAGATTCAGGTTTGGTATTGCGTTGGGCAGCCCCTCCAGTAGCAAGATCTGGAAACTCATCTTCATCCTGACGAACATGTATAAAACATGTCAGCACAACAAAAGACTCTGCCGAAAATAAATACATAATGAGAGTGATGGTTACAGAGAAGTCATTCCAATGAAACTTCTCTCACCTCGAAGTAGAGGGGCTCTGGAGTGAGCTCAGTGCCAGTGACCACTGCTGGCTGTAGTCTTTGATCTGACTGGTTGGGTGGCAAACGCCCTGGATAGCCACTATGGAAATCCTAGAAGGCAGAGAACGGAGGACTTAGACAGGGTACCACAGCAATTCAATATGCTTATTACCCTCTATACTGTATATCTGTGCACATGCTGTCTGGTGAGGAGACCACGGTAGGAAGGAAGGAAATAGCGAAAACATCAAAGCTTCATTACATTCATTTTTCTTGCTCATGAAAACTTCCCAGTAGGTTAACTCAAGTATACACCCCTGTGGTTGGCTGTTTTTTTTTGCTTAAATCGTTTATTGGCTGATGGAAAATACTGAATGTGCATTATGTAAGAGATGCGTGTTTGGAACTGGTGACGAGTTCTGACAACCCTCTGCTTGAATTTAGGAGAAATGTGACTGGATATCCACACCACATAAAGGGTTAAATACATATTCTGAGAAATACTATCTTCAAATGCTAATGATTCATGTAATTTTAATGCTAAATATATGTTCAGTATTTCACAATACTCTCAGAGTGTTATCAGAAACAGAAGCCTTTAACTTAGTGTCTACTCAAGTGGGACCTATGGTACCTGTGAGAAGTTTCTCTGTTCAGGAGTCTTCCTCTGGTCTGCTCTGTGAAACTGACCGTTCCTGTCCCCCCAGGCCTTTGGGGGAGCCTGGGAGGTTACATTTACCCATGTACCTGTTACTGAATAAAAAAAAAAAAACATTGTAATTCTCACATGAAAGAAAAATTTCCATCCATTTGGAATATATTAGATACAGGATACATCAGAAATATGATTATAAAAGCGTGGTGTGAAGACTTGTGGAAAGGAAGGATTCCTAACACCTGATTTGAAAACATATTGCATCAAACTTACCTGTCATTACACCAGCCTCTACTCCCTATAGGACACAGAAAATATTAAAAAGACAAGTTAAGATATCTAGTGTATGTTAAATATGCTACTATATATTACACTGTGAGGGCAAAGGAAATGTAATTGATTCAGTTAAATGGGTATTCCCTCTGTGCACTGCTGTTCCAGAAGTGGAGTCAAGTATGTTATGGTATGTCCTAGTTGTTCTTCCTGGTATTTCAATGACGTCTACATTTGTTACTTCAAAAAACTGTCACAAGCGCAGCACCTAACCCCAACGCTAACCCAATTATTAATGTTCAGACTAAAACAAATTCTTCAAAAATATGTGTTGGATCTGGAATTGACAGTAAGTAGCAAACATACCGTGGGTGCTGTTGTATTCTCTGCTGTTCGTTGCGTTACCCCAGCTGCCTGGTTGTGCTTGGGGCTACAGTAGCCACTGTCGCTGTCTATATCGGCCTCACTGGCGCCCTGCTCATTGTAGCTTTCAGCTGGATGGGACGCCCGTCTTCTCTTTGTACGGTTCTTCCACAGCAGAGGACTAGCCCGCTCAGCAGCACACCGCCCTGACACATCACCTGGGAAATCTGAGGACAGAGTAGAAGAAACTAGACCTGAAATAAACTTGTTACACGCTGTTTCAAAGTGGAATAAAACTGCTACTATTATCAGGATTTTAGCCTAGGTGTGTAATGAGTGTAAATGATTCATAGGAACAAAAATCTTTGCAGTCAGTCTAATATTGAGCAAGAACGGTAAACCCGGAACTGCTAAACAGCTGCTGGAACGAAATCAACAATGCACTGGCCCAAGTCAAAGTCTGTCCACTTAAAGGGCTTGTTTTTTTCCACTGACGAGTTCAGATTGACATTTTAAGTTTCTGACAACCTCATGGATGTTACCTTTTTGTTAAAGAGGAAGATCCTTGTTTAACCAGAAACACATGTTATATAGCTCTGTTCAAAACTAACCAAACGTTAATTTTACCTTGATTGGTTTGTTTGTGTTACTGTGTGGTAGATTTTACTTAAGTAAAAGATCCAAATGCTTCTTCTACCACTGAAAGTCAAACAATCTGATCCCGTCTGTGGCAAAAATAGGCACTTTTAATCAATGTACTTTGATGTGGACAAATATACCGATTGATTACATTGAAGCAGCTGTTTAGAGGTTCCGGGTAGAAGGTACAAGATTTTTGTCCCTATCAATCATCATCCTCAAAAGAGGAACTATAAATACTCTAGGTGATTCAATAGAAACTCACGGATCACCAACTTGGACCTGGAGTTAACAGTATGACGTTTTTCATGCAACACAAAACCGCAACTGAATGACCAAACTATTAACACAGGCTATCGAGAACAGAGACATCATAGGTGACACCATGAGCTGCACACATGTTAACCTTGCCAACTGGAAACTCTGCATTCCAGTTCTTTTCAAGTTTAGCACAAACATCATCAACATCAACCTGTAAGACCAGACACTGCTCTTATCGGCATTGTGTCCCACTTCCTCACTGACAGGAAAGATTCTTGTTCACAGACAAAGCATCTAACTTTAACAAAGCTAACTTTTAACAACGTCTGGAATGTTCTGAGCGTCGGCTTCCTTTCAGCCACAGGATTAAAGAACAACACTGGCACTGGCCACAGAAATTCAAACTATGAATTTTCCAATGCAACAACAAACAGGCTTCTCATCTTTAATTGGTAGTTATTGGGAAGTAAAAACATCTGTTTACACCCTGCATGGTAGGACTTAAATGTATCTTTAATTATTGCCATCGTATTCTTACCGGTCTGCTGTGCTGCATCCACCAGCATGACTGTCTTGGTCCTACCATCAGGTCCCAAGGTGCACACCTCCTTCTGCACAGCTACATTCCTTGTTGGAGGCCGGCGACCCCGGGGAGGCTGGCACACACCCAACTGTTGCTGCAGGAGAGAGAAAAAGAGGTAGGGCATGCTCACCAAATAGACCAAGGATGAGGACGGACAATTTTTGGTGATACAAATAATATACAATTTAATATATATATATATATATATATATAATGATAGTATATAAGATATAAGTATAATATGACAATAAGGCTGTTGTCCTTTTGTACCTTTGGGAGAACATTAGGCCGGATCATGCCTCTCCCTCTCTGACTGGCCATCCCATATGCTGGCCCCAGAGGCAGTGGTCTTTCCCCAACATCTGCTGAAACAGGGTTGACCACTCCAGCTTGCACAGGACCTGCATAGGTGCCAGGGAAAGGCTGGTAGAAGCCCATCACAGGTGGGCACGGAGCAGGCATAATCTGGTAGTAAGCATAGTCATTGGAAACAGGAGGCTGGGGGGAAGACAAGATGGGGTAGGCCAGGTATGGACCACCAGGGGTAGGGTTAGGCTGCTGCCAGCGCAGCTCCCCTCCATTATACATAGGATGTTGCCTGTGAAGCAGTAGAGAGGCAATGTGTTAAAGTATTACTAATATTCTAGTCTTTCAGCTTTAAAGAAAGACCAAAGTATTTGAAAAAGCTGGCATTTTCACTATGTGTTGCAGCAGAGGATTGAGTGTGTCCATATCCAATCCAAAATGTCCTGCCACAACATTAACAGAATCACAGTCCTCTCCCAGTGGATATTACAAAAGTGGATGGTACAAAATACCACACAACATGACAAAATGTTACAAAATGTATGTTGAAACCACAAAGGGAAGGCTGTGAATCAGGTTACATTGTCTTAATGCTAAGCTATTTAGCTGTCAAATGTTATTTTAAATGAGGTCAACTTTTGACTAAATGTCTAAGCCTGCATTACATGGAAAAGGAAAAGATGACGAATATATGTAAAATCAGATCTGTAATGACACAAACTCAAAATTACAAAACTCACATTCTCAGTTAAGAAAACCATGATCGCAATATCCTGAATTAATCACAGCATTGTGTAAAGTTTTTTGAACTTTGTGTCACTTACTTAAAACACTTCTCAGTTTGTATTTTTTTTCAAACATGCAATGGGAAGACATTTTGTGTTCCACAAAATAAGATTAACATTCATTTAGCAGGAGAGAGGTGGTGCCTGGGTGGGATGTGGCAGTAATGTGTATGATGGTTGGTTTGTTAGGCTGTGTCACATGCAGAAATGTTGATAAGGATCCAGATGACATTTTCACAGCCAGCTTACTATAGCGGGTATTTCCTTGCATTCAAATAGTGGGGAAGGAAACAAAGGAACGGATGTGTGCAGGATACAGCAGATCACTCTGGACAAAGAAAGAGCCACTGGAAACATAGATTGTGGTTCCATGTAAACTCTGTAACTCTGGGGAGGTTTCCATTCATAGTTAAGCACTCTTAATCAACAGAGCAATCTAATGGCTCTAACTCAATACACTCTTTAAAGGATTTGATCGTGATCTCTTCTGTGAAGCACAACATCAGGGACACAGTGTTCTCTTCTTCTTATTTTAGTAAACAGTTATTCTGAAAATAGAAAGGTCCAGAAGAGAGAAGATTGTTCTTGTGCAGTTCAAAATGGGGGCACCAATCTTCCCACAATGCCACAGGGATTGGCAATATTTCTGCTAAAGTTGACACCATTGGCAAAATTCATAATTGAAATGAACCACTGTTAAATGAGGTTTTCACCCATTCCTCAATCTCCCCCTGCTGGAACAGTACCTGTTGGGTTGGTTCTCTTGGACAAAAGGGTAGCAGGTGATGAGGTAGCTGGGTATGGGAGTGGTTTCCACCCCACCACCACCTCCTCCTATACCTCCGCTCCCTCCTCCACCACCCGCCTCTCCAGAAAGACTCATGCTGACCAGGGATCCTTCAAGACCTTTCTTCTGTGGGATGAACGGTTCCACTTCGGCTGAAAGCTTCACATCCTGCAGTGAAAAATGAACAGCCATTACTGCCATACCATGATCAATGGCAGCCACTTAATGACTACTTGGTGTCTTTGAAAGAAAAATAGGTCCGGGCCCAGAGAGCACAGACTGATTTCTCAAATTGGTTAAAAAAAAAAAAAGTTGCTCAAGTCAGTCAACACATTCTCTGTTTGTGTTTTATCAAGCGTGCTGTTAGCCTTCTCCATACCTGTATCTACACAGTAAAACAGATCATATAATTTTATTACTCTTATTGCCATCCCACACATATCAAATGGGATAGTTGTAAGGTGGAAGCTGATATCAACTGATATCGACTACTCATGAAAACCCACCTACATTTTTCCATAATTTGACTGTGCTCTTTGCGTAGGTTGGGCAGGTGGGCCTTAAAATTAAAAAAAAATAAATGTCTTTTTAATATCAGCTGAAAACATGGTAAAAGCCACAACTGTATAAGTATTAAATCTATACCAAGATTTTTAAGATATTAATCTGAGTACTGGATATCTGACAGAGACCGAGGGAGCTGTACATAGTCTCCCAGCACACTGACCAACCTCCCATTCCTTTAGTGGTAATCACAGCAGAGCACTGTATTTCCTCACAATGCTCCTGTTGTTTTAAGGTCTTATGTGTCTACAGCCATCAGTAAAAAGGTGACACAAGGACATAAAACCTTTATGAGGCTATAGATGACATAACACACAGCTGCCAGAGGATCTAAGCAAAGTACACAACATGTAAGAGAAGAGCTCCAGCCACTCATCCATCTTCTTGTTAATATGGTGAGGCTGATCTCTGTACTTCAAAGCCAAAGGGAGCTTACAATTTGTTTTGAGAGATAAATGCCATCAGCTGCTAATACCGGCCATACACCAAATGACTTTTCAAGCGATTTCACTGTCACTGACAAATTTCCAATGTCGGAATAAAATCATGAAAGTTTTGTTTGAGTTGTAGTGTGCTCCTGTCACCTCGATGGTTTTGCGTAAGGTGGTCATCTGAGCTCTCTTAAGTCAGTCTTTTTTTCCATCTTTTCTGATGAAATTAAATATGTTTAATCTTATCATTTAAGTTTTTAGTCATGGCTTATTCAAATACTGACATTAAAGTACGTGAACACCTTCACCTTCTCCAGCACCAAACAGGAAGCAGCAAACCGAGTTGATAGTGAGCATGGAGGCGACTCCGGGGAGGCGCAAGAATGTGAGTCGCTTGGTGTAAGGCCGCCATTAAATAGATAAGGGATGCAAGGGTAATTGGACAAAAGGAAAAGAGTTTAAAAATAAAACAGGAAATCATAAATAGAAAATGCAAACAGAGTCATTTTAGATGTAGCTGCAACATTGAAAATTGAATATGTAAGGTACAATAGACGCACATTTAAAGCTTTTGTTTCAGGCCTTAAATGCTGTGTTGTTCATTTTCCTCAAAGGTTTTGGCCTTTGAGAGCACCTGGGGACAAACACCAGACTCAGCCTTGTTATGAAACATATACTGTAAGTTAGGAAACAGTGATTAGTTTCTAACCACTTCTCAACTCTCACAAAAAAGTGAGAAACAACAAGGAAACTGGACTAAGATGGAATCACATGTGCCACATGTCTGAGTTTTTGCCAAATGAGGAAATGAAGACAATAAAGTGACCATTAGAATAAAATGAAAAAAAATCAGTAGAAAGTATATCCCTTTCTGAAATCCTTATAAAGCAGCACAGACGTACCCCTATATTATCCATAATGTTTATAAAGATAATGTATGATAATGATTATGTGATGAATTATTCACAGTACAATGATTTTATTGCTGCAAAATATTTCTTGAAAGGAATAAATGGGCAAAAACAAGAAAAATTACCCCTAAGTGCCACTTTTGTATAAAATTGCAAGCAACATAGAGGTTTGGAGCATTCAGACAAAAGGCCATTTTCTGTGTACAAATTACCACAAGATATACATACAATAAAAAGCTATACAAACAAATCAATAAAGCTATTCAGTCAAAAAGCTGTGACATATTTACTACAGGCACAGAAGTCACTCAAAGTCTTCTTCTAGTCAGTCTGGTTTTATGGGTCTCCAGATATGTGGATCAAGCACACCAAGCAGGTGTGTGTAGGTGTAGAAGTGTAGGCTGTTGTAGGAAATGATACAGTAGGCCACTCAAAGGCCAAAGATTCGAGATATGGGGCACTGGAAGACAGGCTTTGGGCTGAAACACAGAAGTACTCCCAAGCTCAATCAGCCACTTCAGACTATTGTTCTGCAGAAACCCAGAGACATGGCCTCAAATGGGTAGGTTACGCTTAGTGATGACACCAACTAATGGGCAGGCCTGTATCTCCTTAATACCTTAAAAAGCAAAAATCTAATCAGAAAGCATACCATTGTTTCATGTACAGTACCGTATGCTACATGTAAAAAATAACAGAGCAATACTTTTCATATTGTACTACTGCATGTTTTAACATAGTAATCCTTATTCTAAAGTCATAATATCAACCTAATACCGTGTTTGTTAATGTCAGTATAACTGCTTTAACCTTCATTTCTTACATGCTCGCCAAAGTAAACTATCAAGAGTTTATTATCAAGCGTTATTGATATATGGTAAGGAAGTAAATGGAGCAACTGACAAAAATAACATAACTGCCCTCCCTGTCCTTTCCATTGCTGTCTCTGTCTGGAAGCATCTTTCACACCTCTGAGTACTTCTCATTTGACATAATGTCGGCATTGGTTTAATCCAAGGTGGCAGCTCTGTCCAAGGGGTTCCATTAAAATGATTTGCTATTGTGCATAGGATGAGGAGAGGGGAGAGGTGACAGGGTTCAGAGTACAAAGAAGCCCCCTCACTCTTCTGAAACAGTGGTCGGGATGCATGAATAGAGTGTCAGTGCAGCCAGTGGATGTCACACAGACAGCTATTGTCTCCCACTGCTACTGTCTGTGGGTGGTTCCCTCATTTTTCCTTAGGTAATCTGTAGAATCCATCCCATCTAAAAAAGAGTCATGGTAAATAGAGCCTGTTCTGCCAGGCTAGTATAGAAAACCAAACTACAGATCTAAAGAAAGATTTTTTACAATCTCCCAGAGAGTAATAGCAGCCTCATCCAGACTGATACATTTGCAAGGCTTTAAGACTACAGTAGTCGGTCTGAACCTGTATGATGGCACAGTATAGCTGATAGGGTGTTGTTATAGGATTAAGTTTGAGAGGATAAAGTAGGGACAGTACTACAGGATAAGCTAATTACATAGCAAGGCACAGCATGGAGGCCTCATGTGCTCTAATGGTGAATCTTCAATTCTGAACACTAGTGGACAAATCCAATTATATAAAGAAAAAAAGGTTTAGGAAGACAGAGCCTGTCAGAGGATCAATCTTTTGATTCAACCATGAGTCTTTGTGTATCTCTGTTAGTGAGAATAGCTGTGATTGTGAAAGAGGCAATGAGGTCAGACCCAGATGTGCATCCGCTGGGGATGACAGAACTCTGAGTGATTCGACTGGGGGCTACTGATCTCACAAGCCTCTGTTTGTGCAAGCATTTATTTTCACACCAGTAGCTCTCCAACACTACCAGACAGTATCTGTTTCTGCACTGAGAGCAGGGTGGGCTGTGTAGGTAACAGAACATATGCATTAAAGCTTTTAAAAAACCAATCTAATCCAACAATCATGCAATAAATCCCAACTTGAAATTGTTTTAGAAAGGTGTTGATTCAACTTTATTATCATTTTGGAGAATGTAGTTTGTGGTGCTTTGTATTATAGGGAGAGGTGTTTCTGATATTTTACCTACCTTCATTGAAACAAATGGGGTGGAGAAAATAATAGAAACACCTCTCGATATAACAGCACCACAAACTGCAGCTTCCAAAATGACCGTTGAGTTGATTCAATACCTCTCTGAAACAAATTCAACACAAACTAAACATTATAACCTTAATTTAGGTAGTATTTATGGAAGGGCTGTTGTACTAGACTGCATTTGTGTTAGCTAGGAGTGCATAATAAACAGGCAACTGAGTATAAATGACACATTTTTAGATGTAGTCCTTCGGGGAATAAGACACTGAGGAGTAGACCTAAGGACCCCTTGTTGTCAACCAGAGAACACAACCGTCCAGTGGTGCTAGCTAACATGTTAACCTGACATAGATGATGGACATTGCCTATTCGCCTTGAACAACAAACCCGAGCACAACCAAACTAAACTTTCTGCATTGCTAACAGCGTCATAGGAATGCCATACATGCAGAAGAACCAGACATTCCCCTCATGACGGTCCACAAAACCTCTCCGCCTCCCCTGACATCAACACTACTTTCATGTACACATTCCTATCTTACCGAGACCTTTACGTGAGGTGTAGCTCTCCAAACTGTTACCAAACATTTCGATAGAAAAAAAGAAAAATAATTCTGCCAGCTAGTGTCTGTGATTAAAATGACCAGTGCCGTCAAATGACAGCTGAGATGTTTAGCTTCAGCTAGCAGGCTAGCGAAGCTAACATTTAAACACAGTCTGTCTTTGTGCGCTTAACGCATTGGAATAATGTCATGAAAATACATCTAAGTCATTTTATAAAATGGACAAAAACACATACACCGCAACAGAAGAAAAGAAACGCGTTATCTGCTGTGTTTTATACGGAGCTGCGGTTACCGTTAGCTGTTTAAGGTTAGCTTACTAGCAAAATGAGATAACTGTTTGACTTGTTGTCTGTGATCAAACACCAAACCGTGTGGTGTTGTTATCGATGATAATGACCTAAACAGGTAATTTTCGTCTAATTTAAGAAACGCTGCTAGTTGTAATTACAACACCGGAATATCAGCTTTTTGAATAACATTAACGAAAATACAAATTTGGGCCTCGGCAGCTTAAACCAACGTTATGTTCCTTTTTCCACCCGCTAAAGCCCTAGCAAGACCCCAACAAAACAGATAATTTTAAAATAAACTGTACCTTATTGTCACTAGCGTCCATGTCAGTCACCCTCGCCGCGACAGACCTTCATTGACCACAATGTGGACGTCAAGAGGTGGGCCCTTTTAATTTCTTCATTGTAAATAGAAATAATTATAATGATGTTCACCGAAGCCTTGTAGTGACTCACACCCAGTTCCTACTAGACACCACCGCTAACTGTTGCTAGATGCTGCTGCGTCAGCTGACGGAGCTCAACACAGACCGGCCTGTGGCTGAGGCGCTATGCTGCCGAGAGAGCAAATTGCTGTCAGTGTGGAAATGGGAGTCACCTGGAACGGAAGCCGCCGAGGCCCAGAAAGCTTTTACTGGCTGGAAAATGCAGTACGTCATGAGGGCATAGAAATATCTTCAGTGAATTAACTCAAACAAAAGAACGATTTCTTCATGCTCATACAGTTAAAAACATTTTATTCGACTTCAACTCCACGTTCAACCCGTCACACAGTTCAAACGTTGTAGCTAGTCAAAGGCAGCTCAATCATTTTAGTGCTGAGAGAAATCTGTTTATTACCAACAGGCAACAGTATACATTAAAATACTGTGTACACGTTTTGATACACATTTGGACTTTTTTTCTACACATCTGAAGCATTTGTGTGTTGCACATGGAAGGATCTGCCAATCAGGAACATGAAAAACAAAAAGAAGTGTCAGTGATTTCCTCTCATCAGGACAAAACAACACTCTGAACACGTTCTTGTGGTTCTCGGAGTCTTCTTCAAATTGGTGGCATTCTCAAAACCTGTGCTGTGTATCTTGTCTCAGAGGATATACTTGAAGAAGCACAGTAGCATACTTTATGGATGTATTCAAACATGCCATTTTCCTTGTCTCTTGATTTTACATGCCATCATGTGAGCTTGCTAACAATGGCTTGGTTCAGAGAGTTCAGCTGATTTGTCCATTTGTCTAAAGCTGTGTAGCGAGCCCCTCCTCTCTTCTGGTAGTCCAGTTCTAGTAGCTGGTTAACTTGGTCAATTCGGCCATGGATTGTGCTGAGTAAAAAGAATAGAGAGTGAGCAGAGAAGCCACACGTTGCATTAGAAAAACAGTCCAATCTCTCCACACAATTTAGTCACACTCTTATAGTTACACCTTGAAATGCAACTTTCCTCTTCCTGTAGTTACCTCTACCAAGGATGTTATGTTTTTATCCATGTCTGTTTATTTGTTAGCAGGATTACAGATAAAGTACTGAACCGATTTGCACCAAACTTGGTGGAGGGATGGGGAACAGACCAGGGAGGAACCCATTAAATTTTGGGGCAGTTTCAGAACATGTAGTCTAGTGTATGTTGTTTGACATTAACCTTAAAAAGGTCTGTTCTCCGAGTGCCCTTCTAATTAAACAGTATATCTGATCTCACTGCCAACTGTACTGTGGGACAGTGCAGTAAAGACAGCAAACAACAACAGCAAAATAGGTGGAATAATTTCTTGAAAATCCCAAAAGCAATCTCAAAGAATCCAGTATTTTTCTTAAATGTGGGGGTTGCACGTTTGTATTATAGAATTTGTTTGCTTTCATATTAGTGGCATTAATTTAAAAAACATTTTTAACATTTCAGAGCATGATGGCTCCCTTTTCACTCCCTACCAAGTCATTTATATCAGTGAACCAGTACAGCTGGTATATGAAGCTATAAATAGCAGATCACAATTATTACAGTACGACAATCAATTACATAAAAGATGTAAGTGAAACTGTCAAGTCATACCACCTAATTCCCTTAAGGACCAAATGACACAAACTATGAGGAACTACAACTATTTACAGGAAGGGAGTAGATATTTTTTAGACTGTCAGCCACATGAGGGAGAAACTTACTTATCCAAGATGCACTGCACCAGCAAACTCTCCACATCACACACATCAATGTTCAGCTCCTGAAACACAAGGAAAAGAAAAAAGATTCATCCTCAAATCTGTAAACAAGTTGGCCAACTAGTCTGATTTTACATTTAGGATGCAAAGTGTTCAACACACTGTAAATCCTATTGTAAATAGTGTGTTGCAGAAGACCTGAGGAGGAAGTCAGCCATGCAAGTATGTAAAGTAAGAAATAAATAAATACAGAAAGGGGTTTACAAAGTATTGACAGATACCATATAGAGGCATTAGTGATGAATGGCACATGTACTGCGAGATGAACCCAAGTCCTGGGAAAATACCATGATTATTATCATAATAATACTGCCTTTTTAGCTCTTCTTCTTTTGTGTGTTTAGTTTTGCTTTTCATCTGTAGATTTCATCATACATGACTTATGTTAATGCTGCAACTGTAATACACTTACTTACTATGCTAATTAACCTACATTGAGTAAAGCAATAATTTGCCATATTTGCCAATAATTTCTGGCCCTACAAAACAAAACCAAATCCTACAACATCAGATTCTGCTTTGACACTTTTATGACTATCTTTGTGCCTTTTTACAATAATACCTTTATCTTCATTATTGTGGAGGAATAAAAAGATCAAAGAGGAAAGATCACAGATGAAGTCACTGTACGGAACGCTTATTAATCACGTAGACTTACCTTAGAAATGAAAGGGATGTGTATTCTCGTGTACGGTTTGATGAGTTTGATAAGTACTTGAGTTCTAATGTTCCGCAGGAGCTCTGCAACACATCATCATATGATCAGCTACACTTTAGAAAAGACAATATTTTTCCAACACATTTATCATGAACGTGGAGTGAAAGTCATTTCCACCACTCACCCTCTATGTGCTCTCTAATGAAGGGGTCGTCCATTATGTTACTGTGATTTGTTTTCAAGATTTTCTCAAATTCAGTGATGTCATTGTTCTGGTAGGCGCTGGAAGGAAAAACATCCAGAGTTGTTATGCTATATACATTGTGTCTTCGTGACCCACTCAAAAACTCTCATCCTGATAGCTGTCAAACACATTCCAAAATATCAGACTTTTGTGTAAACACTATTCTTATTACAGTTTTGGGTGTGCGTTCTTAGTTTCTTGTTTATGCAATAAAAATCTTAAATATATGCATGGAACCTGAGCAATTTCAGACAGCGCCTGTAACTTATGTAAACATGGGGACAAAAGAGAGCAAACAAGGAAGCAGAAGACCACTAAAGTCTTGGGAAGACAATAGTCATGTTCCATAATTTATACAAATACTGTGAAATGAACACTAATGTTGATAGAGCACTGTTTTGGCAAATTGTATAAATTGTATTAAGTCCATTACTGTTGTTAATGTATCATTTTGTACTAAGAGGAAATGATACAAGGCATGAATTCAAAGATGTGAACATCTGTACAGACCAAGCTGTTAGAATTAGTTAGCAACTCGGACGAACTGAATGAGAAACTCAGCTGAAATACTGACCAAAGGCCATACAGCACAGGGTATAGGTCCAAGAGGTAACCATCCATTCAAAACATTATGGGAACATTATTAGCACTCTGGGTCCATTTGTACAATTTTGGCCATCCATGACAACATATTTCTTACAGACTTGGTTGTGATCCGAAGATACAAGGCACAAAGCACACTCAAGCGCACTATGCCCAGTTTGCTGAGGTCATGGAAGCACATGAATAAAAGGTGGGAGTCTGTATAAGTCATTATCATATATAATAACTAATGTGTTAGGGGATTGTGTCAATAATAGCTAATCACACCTCTCCTTTCTTCTCCTTTATAAGTTGTTCTCTCTTCACAATGACATAATGAAGTTTAGTAATGAAGCCTGCAGTGACTTTGCCAGACATAACCTTACAACAGAGTGCATGGGACAACATTAAATCAGACAGATTAAAGGTCAACTGTTCAACCATATTTTTTCTAAGCCTATGGAAATAAAAAGTGAACCATATATTTTGTAGCCAAGGAAAACATTGTTTTAAACATTTTAGATGTGTACTTTTGTTCTCGCTTAAAATAGGTTAAACAACTGTCACTGATGAAGCCTTCTCACTATTCTTGTCATTTGTCCATTTTTGCTCCTTAGTAAAGCTGTGACTGCTGAGATGGTGTAGACCTCAGAGTAAACTTGGCAAGTAAAATGTTACAAGAGATAAAAAAACAAAAAAATAACCAACACTAGAACAAAGTGTGATGTATTTCAACACTTTCAATTAAGACATGAATACATGCTTACCTTACTAAGTTTGTCATTGCTAGGATCTCGGGGTCATTTTTGTATGGTTTGGCCTTTGGAAAAAAAATATGAAAAGTTATGCCTGGCGCTAACACTGAAGTAAATGTTAACAAAATCCCACAATAGTTTAATAGTTCAAAATAGTTTAAACACATTCAAGTCGTGCTTTATCAAAAAATTCAACTGCAAAATGCTCAAACTTATGTGGCAACTAGCTGTCTTGTTCTCTCCCGTTACATATTCTGAACAGTTATCAAACGCAAACATTTAAAACAGTCACAATTATTTTCATACCTCTTGAGAGTCAAAAGGGTTTATTCCTGACTTCATCAGCATGTTGGCTAGGACCAGGTACTTCAGGCATGTTGTCCTTCTTGGGCTTCCAGACTCGTCATAGTTTTTAAAGGCCTCAAAGAAGTCTGTGTGAGCTTTCTCAAACTCACCCTCTCTCAGGTGCATCTTCCCACCACACTCTGGTCAGGAGCAAACAAGCACACGTCTTTCAGCAAACAGCTATAACAGTACATAATGAGAAAGTATCACAACGCAAGGCTAAACAAATGTTCTGTGAATGAAGGAGGTATGTACACCATCATACCTCTGATAACTCCCATTATGAGTGGGTGAGGAATGGCAGATTTAATATGAAGTGACTGTTCATATAGGGCTTTCAATTTCTTGTTGTTTTTTTGTGCAGTGTACATCTGGATCTCGAGAGCATAGATCTCCAACAGCTGTGTGCCCTTCTTAAGGTCATCCTCTCCATCATCTGTCTGTAGTTGACATAAAAACATTTATTAAATCATTATCATAACTGATTGATTGTTGCTTTTAAAACCTCCTTTCTTGTATGAAAACAGGGAAATTTATTATTGCATATTCAATCAAAAAAGAATTAAAAAATTGAACTATTTACCTGACATGACTGGTGAAGTTGCCTAAGGATCTTTTGCAGTTTCCCATACTCTTCTCTCTCCAAGTACAGCTTCCCCAACTGCAGGGGAGAAACAAAAAAGAGCATTTTTTTTAAGACCTGCTTTACATGGAAATTATCACATAAGACTGCGTGGAACCAGTGAAAAATCTTTGTG